AGTAGTTATGATGGCAAATGGACAACACAATCATTTAGGTAGCATCTAGGAATATTGCTACAATTATTTTACATAAATAGAAATCTATGTCTTTATTAGTGATGTACCACATATCTTAGGGTAAAAATTCACATCGAACAGGCTTATAAATATACATAAATCTTGAAATCAATCACAACTGGACATTAGGTACACAATTTTTATAAAACAAATATAACCCATTAATGTCTATTTAAAGGCATAGTTTTTACAAAATAGTGATTGGTAGACAGTCTCAAAAAAGTGTAACGAATACTCCTGGAGCCAGACCGTTTGAGCACATCAGCGTGTCTGTGGGAATAAGGCATGTGGAGAAGCTGCATTCGCTCTTCCAGGTGGCCAGGGCATTCTAGTCTATGTGAGAAATGGGAACTCCTGTAGTGACCTGGGTGACTGCCACACCTCTGCAGCAACTGGTAACCTTAGAGACTCAATTATTCTCCGGAAGAATCAAACTGAATGGTTACTATGTAATGGGGGGGAGGGGGGAGGAACATTAGTCAAGGGTCAGTGTATTTATTTATTTATTTATTTTTTTACTTTTATAGTGAGGCAACATACTGACAGGGTCTCACTTTGTCGCAGAGGCTGTCCTTGATCTTGTGTTCCTCCTGCCCCAGCCACATAAGTAGCTGGGTTCCAGGTATGCACCACTGTGCCCAGCCATTGGTACATTTTAAGTGAAAAATCCCCAACAGCTTGATGGTTCCCTTACATTTTCAGTCTCCAGACAGATTTTAAATCACATTAGCCTAGCCACTGTTTTTGTGAGAAGGACCTTGTGTGCAAAAGTCAGGTATTAAATATAAAAACAGAAGTCCAACTTGAAACTAAGTAACTGGATAACTGAATAAAGAGTCTAATTAAATAGGATAATGCACAGGTTGTATCAACATGCCAGTTACTCAGTTAACACTAGCCTTGGTTTCTTAACAGTATGATATTTTATGTGTTCTTAATTCATATAATGATGGAGAGAGCTCAATAAAGAATACAGGAATCCTTTCTACAAACTAAATTACTATAAACTGAAGGGCAGTTTTGCCTGTTCTATGCATGATGTTTCATCTCTTGGGTGTGACAACATTCAAGAGATCAGAAACAGAAACAACCCTGACGAAGACCTTCAAATGCTGGCTGTATGTATATATAGGCATTTATGAATAAGTGCACACACACACACACACACCCCATCATGTATGTACAAGTATATATATACATACATATACTATATGAACACACTGAGAACAATCAAACTTCAATAGACACAACTAATTCTGGTTAGAGAACAAGGATATATAATTATATACAACAAATTAGACACATCTCAGCATTTGGCCTAGTGCAATGGTTCTGGAACATTTTTCCAATATAGAAGGTAGGTGCTATGTCACATATGTAAAACACTCCCATGGGTATAGGAAATTCTAATAAAACTTTAAAAATGTTTCTGTAGGGCAGCAAGTTACTCTGAAACATTGAAATTCTCATCACTAAGAGCAGTTCGACAGTAAAAATTGTTCACAACTGCGAGTTTAGGTAAACTAAAACCATTGCCTACCCTGCCTTGTATTTTACTACCATTTCTTTCACATCAAATCCAGAAAATGTATTAGAATATAAGTGGGAGCCAGCAGGTGGCATGGTGGTTACATCGCTAGACTACCACATAGTGGACCTCAGTTCAAATCCCAGATCTGGTGGCTTGCTTTCTCTCTCTTTGTCATGAGTGCATGTGCCCTATAGAAAATTTAAAAATAATAGTGATAAATTAAATTTTAAAAAGAAGCTTCCAGATGCTAAGAAAATAAAATAAATGCACAGGGATGCCATTTATTTATAACAATAAAATAAACTACATTATTTTAAAAACTAGTAACTGTAATACTTTTGCAGTTAACCAGTGATATGTTACGTTATGATTGATCATAATACGTTGGTGAGTCCCCAGCCAGCAGAGAGGGTGTGAAGACCACAGCCCACAAGCCAAGCTCTGCCTGCCTCTGTAGAGCCTGCAAGCTAAGAATGGTTGTTGCTATTTCTTAAATCAAAAGAAGATATTTGTGACAAGTGAAAATTATATAAAATTTCAAATTTTAGTGTCAACTAAGCTTTTTAGGAACACAGCCATACTCATTCATTTATGTATTATGTTAGGGAGAATTGAACAACTGGGGCAGAGGCCATACAACCCCAAATACTTAACATCTGGTCATTTATTTCTTTAAGATTTTTGCCATAGGGCAAGTGCACTTGCTACAGGGAGACAGAGAGAGAGAAAGTGAGAAGTCACCCCACCCCCAGGGTAGAGGGATGGACATACTGCAATCCCTTTTGCTCCATTCTCCTCTCAGGATTTTGGGCGCACACATGCATGCCCAGAGTGTTTTACAAGCTGCCTAATCAGGACTTGAACCACAGAGTTGGCCATGTGGGATCCAGTGTCTTAAGTACCACACCACCTGCTGGTCCCACCATCTGACCTTTTAAAGAGAAAGTCTGCCAACCACTGGACCATAGCTGAGAGAGACGTACAACCTCAGCAGTAATATCGCTTATGCACAAAATCCTGAGGTTAGCCAGTAGACTTAATTACTGAAATGGAAGTAAATACCCTATAGGATGGAAATTCATTCTTGAGTTTTCTAAATATCTTGATTTCTTTAATGACAAAAGCCAACTTAAGACAATACAGCTCCTGCATCTTGTCTGAAATCATGTTTATAAATTCATCATTGAGACTACAGTGAAGCAATGAAAAAGCACTAGGCTCCAAGTTAGGAGAACTAGGCTTTGAGTAAGTCCCTTTTTTAAAAAAGAATTATTTAATTTTATTATTACTATTATTATTTTAATTTGCTATAGGGCACATACACTCACCAGAGGAAGAGAAAGAAAAAGTAAAAAAGCAAGCTGCCAGGTTCAGGAATTGAACCATGATCAGCCATGTGGGAGTCCAGCACCTTAACCACCATGCCATCTGTTGGCCCTTAGGTAAGTTATTTTTAAAAATTAACTAGAACAGGGACCAGCAGATGGTGTAATGGCTGCATTGCTGAACTCCCATGTAGTCAACTGTGGTCCAAGTCTTGGACCTGGTGGCTTAAACTCACGCTGGGCACATGTGTGTGAGTGCCCAAGATCCCGAGAGGAGAATGGAGGAGAAGGCATTGCGGCATGGCCATCCCCCCTGGAGCGTGATTTCTCACTTTCTGTCTCCCTGTCTCTCTGTCTTTCTGGTGAGCGCATGTACTCTATAGCAAAAACCTCTCCTCAAAAAAAAAATAAATAAATAAATGAAATTAACTAGGACAAATATATTCTTCCACTCTTGTCCAATCTCTGTGTTATTTTTTAAATCCTACTAAAAGTGTTAAAATGGTAGAATAAACATTTTCTTAAATGAAGAAAAAAATTAATGCAAAGCAAAATGTGCTCTTTCCTCAAATTTAACTATAAGAATCCCCTAATTCATTATAAATTACTAAGGGGGAAAATGTGGGCTCCATTTAATAAAAGTTTTAGGCCCAGCCTTGTGGCGTAGTTGGTAGGAAACTGAACTGCAGTGATGGAGGCCACATGGTCTAGAACAGGTTTGGGTTCCAGGGTCTACCTAAAAACACTCCAGGCACATATGTATGTTCGTACATGTGCCCAAAATTCTGAGGAACTGGAGGGCTGGGGAAAGGGATCGCAGTGTGACAAGACCCTGTCAAGAGTACTTCCATCTCTCTTTGTTCCTGTCATTCGTGTGTGTCCATGTGCTATCATGAATAAATATAAATACCAAATGAAAATAAAAGTGAAGATGCGTAAATGTATAGGAAATCATATCATCTCCCTAGGCCATAGCTGCCCCCCTTGTAAAACGAGTGCATTGGATTAAATGGTCTCTAAAATCCTTGCCAGCACTGGTAATATACCAAATGACTAGCCTCAGTTTTTTCATTGACAAAATTGGATTAATAATAAAATCTACTTCCTATGGTTGTTGAGAGGATCAAATGAGTTAATCCATGTAAAGTGCTTAGAACAGCACTAAATACATTTAGCTAGCATTATCGTTAGTCTATCCCAGCATTTTACAAAAAAACAGTGGTTGAGTATCTCCCTCGTCACAAGTTCAATATGAGAAAATAGGAATACAGAGGTAAAACAGAATCTGATTTGCTTGGCCTGGCTTGAAGTACAGGGGCTAGGGTGCTGCAACATGATGATAAGTCACACGGGAGGTCTAGGTTCAGATCCCAGACCAGTCTAAAAAAACATGCTGGGCATAGCAGCACGTACCTGTGATTCTAGTGAGCTGGGAGGCTGGAACAGAGAGAATATGGCAAGAGCCTGTCAAAAAATGCTTAGTGCTCTCTCCACTTTTTCAAGTGAAAAAAGTTGAACATTTTCATATATTTAGAGAAGAATGAATAAAATCGAAGTCTAGAGTTTTAATTTTATCATTCTAGTAATGATAGTTCTCTGAGAGGATGATCAAATGCTGTTCTACATTCTACATGGTGTTCGAATTCTAATACCTGAACACTGACTATGTTTAAAATGTGAAGTCATGTTCACTGCCGGGTAAAATAACACTGTTAGTAAGGATCTTTATATTTCAAAAGACGAAGTTGAGTGTTTGCTTAAAAGAATGGCTTGTTGTTTTTGTTGTTGTTTTTGTTTTTGCTATAGGGTGCGTGCACTCACCAGAGAGACAGAGGAAGAAAGAGAGATACCGCCTCCAAGGGAGGATGGCCATGCCGCAATCCCTTCTCCTCCATTCTCCTCTCAGGATTTTGGGCATGCACGCACATGCACCCAGCATGACTTTCAAGCTGCCAAGACTTGAACCATGCTATTGGCCATGTGGGATCTAGCACCTTAAGCTCCATGCCACCTGCTAGCCCTGTTTTTTTTTTTTTTTTTTTTTTTAAAAGGTGTTTTTTTTTTTTTTTTTTTTGAGAGAGAGATTAAACAGGGTCTCACTCGTCCAGGCTGGGATTACAGGTATATGCCACCATGCCCGACTTCAAGAATGGCTTTACAGTTTGGTCACAGGTGGAAGAATATAAAAATATTGACCAGTTCGGCATATGGAATCCAAACCTTCTGAACCAAATTTGCCATAGAAATACTGTTTCATATATTTATTTATTCTGCAAATGTTTACTGAGTCCCTCTTATGGAGTCATCTGCTATAATGAGTAATGAGAAGTGGTCTCTGCATCAAGGAATTAGCAGGAAGGACCAGTTAGCAATTAGAGCAAAGCATGAGTATTATGACAAGACAGCCCAGTGTGCTATGGGAACATCTGACAGGGTCCTAAACCTGTGCATAGTCCACAGATGAGAGGAAGAAACATGTAAGTTGTAACCTGAAAGACGAGTAGAAGTTCATCAAGCACAGGAGGTGGAGAATGCTTGAGCACAGGGAACACCATGAGAGGTGAGAGAGGGCCAGGTCTGAAGAACCGACAGCCCTTCAGGGCAGCTCAGCCTTGCTGGGACATCGTGAGTGGGTAGGAGTGGCGAAGGATGATATTGGAAGTCATCAGGGTGGTCTCCATGGCATCTTCATGGCAGTGAAAAGTCATTGAAAGGTCTAAGCACAAATATGCAAAACTGGCAATCAAAGTTGAAATAATTAAAGAAATCATTCACTCAATTCAGAATATAAACAAAGAAAACCTCCAATGACTCCTTCCCAGCCTGCTAATAGCTAAGTCTTTCATTTTAACCTATTTATAGCTTGAATATTATACACATAAGAGGTCTTTCATTTTAACCAATTTATAGCTTAAATATTATATCCATAAGAGAGAGCAATATAAAAATATTTACAATGTGGATGCCTGCACACTCAGGATCCTCACTACTAAACAGCCACTAGAGTTGAAAAGGTGACACGCAGGTCACACTCGACCACACCCAGAGACTTAGTGAAGCAGCGATAGAAAGTCAGGTGGAACCACGGACCTGAACCAGAGGACCTGAGTTTGAATCCTACCCAATTCCATCATTTAGGGCACTTAATCTCTTCCCATCTGTGATGACAAATACTGGGTTGTCAAAAACGTCATGATGCATTGTTTCCCATGTTTTTCGATGCAAAAATGCATCATGACTTTTCCAACAACCTAATATATCTTTTTAAAGCGCTTGGTAAACTCTGCAATGCCACACGTCATTACTGCTTTCCTTATTTTGATTCAGTTCTAGAAGAATTTGAAAGCTCTTCTCACAGGAAGTCTTTCACCTCGGACATGAAACTCAAGGATGACATTAGAAATCAGCGTCCTGTGTTATTTCATCATAAAACCCATAAAGTTGGAGCTAGCTTTTCAGAAATGGGAACAAGCCCGAGAACCCCAGACCACCACGATGGAAATGCCTTAGCAACTCTTCTCACAGACTCCCCTCTGAATGGGCCGCTAGCACAGACATTTGGAAGAAAGGAACACTTGGGTTCCTCTGAAAGAAAGGAAACCACATTGCATCAAGGCATTACTAGGAAGGATGCTGATTTCCTGTCCAATTACAAGTCTGAACATTCTGAATGGATATTCTAGTTGAATTCGTTTTATAGGTCACATTCTCATTTTCTAATTAAAAACAAACACCTCATCCTAAAAATAAGAAAATTCTATTCTAAATCTCTACAATCTCCAAAAATGTTAATTTATTATTAAAATGGCTTACATTTTAATTAAGATGATTTATCTGTTATAATGCATATTTAATCATACTTACTGTAAGCCAACTGACAACAGAATTGGCTGAATCCACAGATGAATATCTTCGTTTATAAAATACAGTGGTAGGAGCATTCAAATTCTGCTAAAAGTTCTCCTATTTTCTTAAGATTAACATAATTATACATCTTCGAGAACACTCATAGTTTCATTTTTAACCTTTCCAAACAGCAATTTAAAAATGTTTTCTCATAGCAACTCACTAACTGAGAACAAATTTCAAATAGTGACCATTTTCCTATCACTGTAATCTCCCTCATTCTCCCCATTGGTTGTATGAATATTCAAAACCATTTATGCTTTATGGAAATTTGAAAATTCTTCTGCCCAAAAGGCTGACCATGAACTTGTGACATCCAGCAAAGTTTTCCCTGGCAATACTCAAAGTAACTCTCCTGTGCAGACGTTCTCAGAGTAAAGATAGTTTAGAGACATTGTTTTTTTTTTAATGTTGCTAGATGGCAACAGGAGTGGGAGGGTGCAGAAATCACACCCCAAATGGGCATGGCCACACCACAATCCATTCTTCTCCATGTCTCCCTCCTTCCAGGATTTTGGGCATACATGCACTTACACCTGGTGTGTTTCACAAGCCACTGGGTCAGGGACTCAGATCACTTAGTCAGCCACATGAGATGTAGTCTCCTCAACCAACATGAGAGCGAGTGGCCCTCTTTTTTTTTCCCTTTCTTTTTTTTAATGATCAGAAGACACATGCACTTCCAGAAAGAGACAGAGAAATAAAAGGGAGAGGGAGAAAGCACTTCTCGATGGGATGTGGTCATACTGTACTTCTTTCTCCATTTCTCCATCCTGTTGGGAATTCGGATATGGACACATGTGTGCCTGGCACATTTTTCAAGTCACCAGAGTCAGGAGTCAAAACGTAGTCAACCATGTTGGATCCAGTTCTTAATCACTAGACTTTGGGGCCAACTTCAGAGATATTATTTCTGCCTGATTCCTTCCCCACCTTGAGATGAGTTATCTGATTGAGTAGTCAAGGCTACATGGCATCTGAATCATGAAAAGGCAACCTATTTGGGTTTCAAATCCCATTCAGGAATGGCAACCATACTTTTCATCAAGCCAACTCAGAGATGTTGTGAAGTTCAAATAAGAAAACATACTTGAAAGTGCTAAGAAAGGTTTTAAGTACTTTCCAAAATGTGTGGGGTCATTATTAAACAATCCTCTTTGACTAAAAAAAGAAGCTTGTTCCTTCTTCCAAAGAGTTGAGATCATGAGTTTGTTTTTTTTTTAAATAATAGAAGCTAAAATGATACTAGATATTCTTCAAAAATATATTTATACTAAAGACTTTCCAATTCATTTAATCTGATGGCTTTGCAGCTGTGGTTAAGGGGTTCCCATCAATAAGTAGAAGGTTAGGGCAACAATCAGAAGCAAACAAAATGGAGACGAGAAGGTCTGGTAGGCAGCCGATGGCATAAAAATGTCTTCATACTTGTAAATACTGACCACACGCTCTGAAGCCGGTGGCGAGTCTATGTCATGTCGAGTGATAGAGCCTTTAAGAAAGAAACAGAAGAGCAGGAGGTAATCAAAAAAAAAAGGAAGGAAGAAAGACATAAAAAGGTATAGGCAAATCTTGAAAAGAATATTCAGTGTTAAGTGCATAAGTAGTGATTAGAAAGACATGGAATCAGGCATTAGAGTTATCATCTGAGTTCTCTGTAACTATATATAGAAATGAAGAACACAGAAACGTACAGAGAAATTAGCTCCAAATATCCAGAAATACTGGTTCTTATATTAATTGGCATACCCCATAGCAGAACAACTGGTTCTTACATTAATTGTTATACGCTAGAGCAGGCACACCATTGGGTTACTCCGTGGCACTCCAGTTTTAAGACTGCTACTTAAGGGGCCAGCAGGGGGTGTGATGATTAAGGTGCTGGACTTCTTCATGGTTGACCATGGTTCAAGTCCCAGACCTGGTGGCTTGAAAAACATGCTAGGAGCATGTGTGTGTGTATGCCCAAAATCCCAAGAAGAGAATGAGGAGCATGAAAGAGAAGGAACTGCAAGAGTGACCATCCCCCCCGGGGGGGCGTGATTTCTCACTTTCCCTCTGTCTCTGGTGAGCGCAGATGCCCTATGGCAAAACCAACAAACAAAAACAAAACAAAACTCACAACACCACTACTTAATATTTTATGAATACTCTTTAAATGTCTCTAATGAGTTTCATCTTATTGATATCAAATGGAAAAACTATATTTTTATTTGAAACAGAAAAAGCTACTAATCATTTATTCTTCAAATCTTTTTTTTTTTTTTTTAATTACCAGAGGGCATATGTGCTTGCCAGACAGAAACAGAGAGAGGAGGTTGGGAAAGCACTCCCCAATGGGACAGAGTCATACCACAATTCCTTCTCCTCCATTTCTCCATCCTGTTGGGATTTGGGCACACACTCATATGCCCCTGATGTGGTTTTCAAAGGACCAGGGCTGGAATCTGAACTGCAGCCAAATATGTGGGGTCCACTTCCTTCACCTCTGATTATGGGGCCAGCCCATCAAATCTATCTTTTATATATAGATAATCAATAACTCCTAATGACACTATAGTTTTTCTTAAGGTGTGGGGAGCTAAAGAGGAGATGTGAGGAATGTGCAGGACGTGACCACCAGAATAAGACCAGGGTTTGTACCCGGACATGGCCTTGGGTGGCTGGACTGTTAGGAGCAGAATGTCTTGGGACTGTTTTGAACTGAATGTTCCAAAGTATTGTTATAACAACCTGATGAATTCAGTAAGGACCTAAAACCTTACATCACAGAAGTCTCTGGAGTGTGTATAAATACTAGCAATAAAGTACATTTGGTGCTGACCAGTATTGACTGGCAGTCCTCCCGTTTCTATCCTGTCTTCCTGTCTTTCTTTAATCCTCGCCCCCGAATTCAGGAACTGTTTGCCATCAGCGGGTCTGACATTAAGGATGGAAGCCCTCTTTCATTGTCTGAAGGACATAAAGAGATGGCCTAGTCAGGTCAGGCCAGAGTGCGTGGGGTTCCCTGAGTGTGTCAGTATTTATCTATCTGACACAGTGGGGTAGAATGGTACAGAAGGTAGGATGATTGTATTACCAGACAAGTATTTGGATAAGAAACTTTATTCTGACATGGTTATAAACTGAACAAGGAAAGACTTGTGCATAAAGGTTATTTAATAAGCTAAGATTGATTAGAAGTATGTGACCTCCTGAATAATCCGTATGAAATTTGAGTTAGGGAGATTAAGTCTGGGCCAGTAGGTGGCATGGTGATTAAGGCACTGAATCCCATATGGTCGACTGTGCTGTTCAAGTCCTGGACCTGGTGACTTGAAAAACATGCCAAGCACCTGTGCATGCATGCCCAAAATCCCAAGAAGAGAAAGGAAGAGAAGGGATTGTGGCATGGCCATCCCCCAAGGCAGTGATTTCTTACTTTCTCTCTCTCTCTGTTTCTCTCCAGTGGGCATACATATCATATAGCAGGTGAAAAAAAAAGATTAAGGCATATGAATTCAGTGTAAAGGTACCCTGAGGAATAGACTCAGAGTGAGGGTTTTTAAGATATTGTCTTCTAGGGAAACCTTGCTGACCTTGACAGGTCAAGTCCCAGCTTCAGGATCTGTGCTGACTCCTTTTGGAACAAAAGGAGTTGGCATGGAAAGGTCTCTCAACAGGTCCCATTCACCTCTTCCACCTAGGCTCAATCCACTGGGCATCTTATCTACATGAGCTCCTAGACCACCATGGACCTCCAGTTCACACCTTCTTTGAGGAGATCTAATCTCATACCTTCTTCAAGCCTGAGCTCAAAATTTCTCCCCCTCAAAGAGACCTTAAGAGAATGGATAGGATCTGATCAACAGAGAGAAATTAGCAGGAAATTAAAGAAATAAGAAAGCATAAGTCAGCAAAATGGGACTTTAAAAGTTTGTGGAAAAAAGAAATTAAAATATGAATTTTGGTATGAAAAACTGTTAAACTAATGTGTAGTTTTTTTCATAATAAACATTTTCCATTGTCCCTACTTTAAATACAAGGAAACAAAGTTCAGAATTTATATCACAAGCTAAATATTATACCACTACCAAGGGATAGAACCAATACTCAAGCTCAAATTTTCAGACTTCAAATCTCATCATTTTAAATGAGTTCATTTCTCCAGGCTGAGATATAATTTATTTCCCAGGGTACTAAAAGTACTTAAGATATAATTGCAGGTCCACTGTCAGTAATCTAGGAAATCGACAAATGGAAGGGGTGTCACGAGCCTGGAGGCATCCAAATATTTCCTCAACCAGAAACAAGCAAAAAAGGTAGACTATGTTACTGCCAGACTGATCAATGGAAATTGAAGGAAAAATAAAACCAACCAGATCAGCTTAGAGTAGCTACAGAGCATACAGACAGCAAAGATGCAATAACAAAGAGCCAGAATGAGTTCTCGGTATAAGGCCTGCAAACCAAACACTCTCACATTCCTAGTCAGGCTATTAGGCTGATCAGGCAGGAGTAATATTCAAGACACAGTGTAACTGGATTTCAGGAGTCTCTAATAGGTCTCCTGATATCCAGGAGTCTTGTTGGAGAAATGCTCAAAAACCCTTCCATCTGAAATGAGGTCATCAATACATATTATCATGGAACTTGGTAGAAATGCAGAATCTTGGACCCCATCCCAGACCTCAAATACAGCATTTTAACAATATAGTCAGATAATCTTTTTTTTTTTCTTTCTGAGAGATTTTTTTTGCTATAGGGCATGTGCACTCGCCAGAGAGAGAAAGAGACAAAAATCAGAAATCACCCCCTGGGGGGATGGCCACACCACAATTCCTTCTCCTCTATTTTCCTCTCAGGATTTTGGGCACTCACACACACATGGCCAGGGTGAGTTTCTAGCCATCCAGTCAAGGACTTTGAACCATGTTGGTCATGTGGGATTCCCAGCCACCTTAATCACCATGCCACCTGCTGGCCCCTACTCAGGTAATTCTTATATAAATATTCTTTTTAATTTTTTTTTAAATTTAACTTTATTTACTTATTTTAAATTGAGCAGAGAGGAACAGAAAGAGAAAGAGAGGGGAAAAGCAAGAAAGCAAGTCACCAGGTCCAGGATTCAAACCATGGTCAGGCATATGAGAGTCCAGTGCCATGCCACCTGCTGGCCCCTCTAATATGGATTAAAACTAGAGGATTAATGGGCTAAATTGTAGGATAATCTGGTAGATTTGTGACCACCAGAACAGTCATAAAGTAAATGGGAATGAAATATTTGGTGTCAATCTCTTATAGAAATCTCCAGAAGCCCTTTCTTATTCAGTATATTTTCTACTGGGTCATCAGAAAAGTTATGTGTATTATTCTAACCAAAATGTGTCGTGACTTTTCTGATGATCCAATATTTATAGCACAGGAGTTAGGAGTATTTGCCAGCTTTGGAATCAGACAGACCAAGGGATAAGTTTTATTATTTCCATGAATTAGTCGTATATCCTTGAACAAGTTTCTTAATCTTTCTAAAAGGATTCTATACCTCTCAAGGATGAGCTAAAGAAGAAATGAAAACATTGTGAGAATTAAACAGAGCCAAAGATAGATAGATATCATATATATTATATAATTATATATTTTATATATATGTGTATATATATATATATATATATACACACACACACACACATATATATACACACACATATATATCTCCCACATATAGCAGACATATAAGCTATTTCATTAAGGATATAGCTCTTCATTTACTATCTTATACTGCTCTACCTCTGTATGACTTGTCCATTTGTTTATCTATGTGTACAATTTATTTTAATTGCCAGAGGGCGCATACACTTGCAGAAAGACAGGGAGCAGAGAAAGAGAGGGAGAAAAAGAGGAATAAAATACCGCTCCATAGGGTGTGGTCACAGCTTAATACCTTCTCCTCCATTTCTCCATCTGTTGGGATTAGGGGCATGCACACACACATGTGCCTTGTATGTTTTTCAAGCCACCATGGCCAGGAGTTGAACCATGGTCAGTCATGCAGGAGCTGGCTCCCTCAACCATTAGGCTAGAGGGCCAGTCCCATGCCTGTGTACAATTAAGTCCATCACAATCTTCTGAAAGTAAGATTCGCAGCTCCTCTTTTTCATATTATTCAATATGGTTATTACTTTCATGCATACACGGTGTGACTTAATAACGAACACAAGCACAGTGATGTCAGTATATAACCCAGATGTTAAACATAAGCTTACCCTGAATGGCTGGACCCCAAGCAAACAGATAATACCAGCTCAAATGGAGGTCAACAATCGTTTCGTCTCTGGGAACATTCACAGGGCGTTTAAATCTGCAGGTGACGCGATTGTTCTCAAAGACTCCTTCTTCGTCTCTGGCAGGATTTCTCTGAATCTCCTTCGCCCACTGGCCTACATTATAGAAGTGTTGTATACGGACCCTGCCATTGTCATCATGAACACAGGCCATGACATCGTCACCACCCTAACACAAAAAATTACACATAAAAAAAAAGTCAAAGGCTTATCTTTAGCAAACTGGTCACCAGAAATATACATTCTATCACTTCTGTAATCACATCTGTAGTCCAGATGTTTTCTTATTCATGGGTGGAGATAAAGTTTATCCAAAAACAGATTGCTATATAAATGGAGATTGCTATATATTGGGTGGTCGGGAAAGTCATGGCACATATTTTACGTAGAAAAACACGTCTTGACTTTCCTGACAATCTAATACATGGCTGGAGAACTAAGAGGAAGAAGGGGTGGCTGACAAGCCTGCTTGGCAGTTTATGTGACTGAAAGTGACAAGACACTCTT